CCCGTCGACAAACGCACATGCGCGTTCGAGATGCGCGAGTTTCAGTACTGATATTTTGGCGCAGACTGTACATGTAAGCTCCTCTCAATCGTGTTCCCTGAGATGGATACATTTTGGTTTTCATTTAAACTGGAAGTCACATTTCTTTTGTGTGTGGTAATTTCTTGATTATTAAAATAATTTCAGATAGTATTTACAATCATAAAGTTATAACAACAACAAAAATGTCTGTAGACGTATGGAAAATGTAACTAAATATTTACGCGTTTCTGGCATACGAGAACATAAGTTAGTCAGCCTTGGTAATATTTTTCAAGAAAAGCAATAAATATCAAACCGAGATGTGTGTGTTGCGTATATATGCACATTTTAACCTCCATTCCACCATTCAAATAGTCTTGCCCCGATGTTCATTGTTTTCATGTGGACAATGGCGCATTAATGGATGTCTATTGTTCTCATTATTTTTTTGTTGCTCTTTCCCCTGTATAGCAGATATAAGAGTCGGGAGCTATTTCTGTCTCTCTCTTCAGTTTTAAAACCATCGAATTCTTTCAGCTTCCATTTATAAAATTGTCGAAACCACATTTAAGCATTAAAAGGAAATCAAGTAATGCATTGATAATGAACCTGTTCTGAAAAAGAAGACTTATCTGGAGACGAGACTACAGTTACAGGGCGTTAGAAAAGGAGAAACTCCATGATCACAGGACTAAAAGCTGCCTAAGGACTAGGGAATCCAATTATCAAGGCCATTACTTGTTAACTTTGCCTACTTCTAATGGGAGAAAATGCGACACATTTTACAATAGGTTCCGTCGACACAATTCCAGCATAAACTGGATAAATTTAAACTGTTTTCACTTAACAGAATATTTCGGCCATTTATGGCCGTCATAAGCTAAATCATTTTACATTAACACTCTAATTTTTCTTCTATTATTCCCTACATTGGCAAATTAATACTCTACTCTTTTTTTTCCTTGGCACTACAACCCCAGTGGGCCTAGGCCTACCTCCATGAACTTCTCCGTTCACTTCGGTTTTTCTAGATCTTACACATTCGGTAGGACGGGTGATCAGCTCGTCGCAAGGCCTCTACCTGTACACAAACACAGAAAAACGCACACACACAAACTAAACATCCATGCCCTGAGTGGGATTCGAACCCACGATCCTGGTTTCCAAGCGAGCGAAGACAGTACATGTCTTAGACCGCTCGGCTACCGTGACCGGCAATACTCTGCTTTATCTGCTGTTATTCTCCTATATCGGCCAATGTAGGGGAGTAAGAGCAGAAAAAGTAGTGTCAATTGGCCAATGCTGGGGGAATAATAGCAGAAAAAGCAGTGTCAATTGGCCAATGTACGGGAGTAAGAGCAGAAAAAATTAAAGCGTCATCTGGCCAATGTATGGGAATAGCAGCAGAAATAGAGCATCAATTGGCCAATGTAGGAGAATAGCAGCAGAAAAAGTACAGTATCAATTGGCCAATGTAGGAGAATAGCAGAAAAGTAGAGTGTGAATGTAAAAGTGTTTACCTCATGATGGCCATAAATGGCCGAAACATGTCATGTGAAAACAATATAAATCTATTCAATTTATGGAGGAATTATGTAGACGGAACCTATAAGAAATAGTTCGCGCACAATATTACGCTCGAATTACAATACTCGTAATAAGAGTGACACATTTTAATTTCAAGAAGTAATTAAGGTACTACGCAACCTCTTTTCCTCACTCATCACAAGCCAAGCGACTGCTATTAAAATGTGTGTTAACTGCGCCGTATTTGGCCTATAATAAGATTACTCCAGAACCTGCTCCTCTTGCTTGTAGGCTGGTCTTTTGGGCATGTTTCTTCAAACAGCTATATTATTAATTGTGTACAAGAGTCTTTTGGTGGTCGAACATGTTTTGACGAAAAACGAAGCAGAGATCATTTTAATATCGATAACGCAGTAACGCCATTTACAATTATTCTGCTGATGCTGTTTACGAAACGAAATTATGAATAACAAACCTTCTGAAGAGGAGGAAATGGGGGAAGAGGGGTACATATCATTCTAATCAAGATAACAAACCCTGTGTACCGGTGTTCAGTGATTTAGAATTAAGCCCTCTAAAATCTCTTCTCTCCTCTTATCATAAGAGGTTAAGTAACACTGGGCGTGGTTAATACCTGAACTGGTGACCGCCTGACAGCACTATGTGAAGCCAGTGCACCTTCTCATGTACAAATACTAAGTTATGTAATCTCTGAAAACAATGCAGTAATTTCTATTATTTTTAACGACTGTTAAACAAGAAAATCAGTGTTCGTGTTGTAGACATTTGGTGAAGTGGTACATTCTATTTACATCACTGACACAATGACAGATAAAATTAGGTCACAAGAATTCGGAATTTGAATCACTGATCTGGATCTTCTGAAATATCACAAATCAATGATGGGATTCGTAAACTGACGGAACCGTGGGTATATGATTAGTATCATCTGTTTAGTACCTCCACCAAATGACTGTGTCGTGATATGCAAACCAGCATTAGACACAAATTAGCACCAGCATCAAGGGAAAGGGTTTATGTTTAAGGCTTAATTTAGGTAGTTTCCGCCGATTGCATTGTTGTATTCAAACTATCCGTGATCTACTGTAATCAATGACAAACAACGGTATCAAAATGTCAAGGATTCTTAGACAAACACTAAAAATCAAATGCACGTGAATTAAAGATTACCTGAACAAGGACAACGCTAATGTGAGGTACGTGAGATGTCAGTTTCGAAAGATCTTCATGTTACTTGCTTCATGCTGGTTTCTTGATTGGCTCATTCAACCCTGAAGATGGAGGCCACATGTTCCTCCGAAACGTCAGTCCATTTTTAATGTGCTACACGGCGTTGTATACAATAAGCGAGAGCTCTTCAAAACTAATGCAGTATACTTTCGTAAAACGTTTCCCTATAGCCCACTCCTACCTTCAAATCGAAAAGAAACCAAGCCCAGAGGATCGCTAGTTATTCATATTGGTATTAGTGGTCCCATAAAGGTCTAATTGTCCCTGTGCTTAACTATGAAGACGTGTGGGGGAGTGAATGTATACATCCACGTATTCTGACATCTGCACTTGCTGGAGGTGAGTGGTTAGCTCCATGCCACGGCCACTTTACCCCCGCAGAAAGAGCCCCCCGTACCCACTGGATAGGTGACTGCGTGAGGCCTGGAACCAATATGGAAGATAAACATCTTGCCCCCACCGGGACTCAAACTCCGTCCACTCGATATTCCAGCCCGCAGCCAGTCGCAATACCGCCTGCACTATCCCGCCTCATATTAGTCCCACATCTTACCTTACAAGATGAGTCAATTTAATCTACTATACAAACCCCTTCTTCTTACACCGACAATTTTCACACTGAATATTGTCGCGTATTGGGTGTATATCGCGACAAATAACTTCACGCCGTATTTTATATAGCGAATTTTATTTCACATTCGCACTTAACAATCACCCAAATTACAGATTTGCGATTACTGCTATCTGCAGTATCACAATTAGTACACTCCAAATGCCACAATACAACTGACTGGTTGCTGGCTAACTCGGAACTAATGTAGCTCGAGGACTGACTCGTAGGTAGCTCCAGGACTAACTGACTGACTCAGTACAACTGACTCGGTGGCTGTCACAGTACAACTCGGAACTGTCTTCGGCGATGGCCAGGTTACAACTAACTCGGTGGCTGTCACAGTACAACTGACTCTGGCTGTGAATAGCCTTCGCTGCTCCTTATGTAGCCTCGATCGGACAATACGGAAAACGGCCACGTAACAGGCACCCTTGTTGCCTGGCGCTGTGTTGCTAGTAACGCTAGCGGAAGTAACCGCTGTTACTACCGTAACAATCCTGTTGCGTCGCCGTTACGTTACCGTGCGGAGGAGGGGGAGGGGAGCGCTGACTCACCCGCCGCGTCACTGCTGGTGAGGGGGGTTCTCCTTTGCGCAACATGTCACAATATCAACATCAAGTCAAATGCTGAAGCTGAAATAAGTTACAGTAATGTATAGCACGCCATTGTGTTGTCCCCATGCTTCAGTCATCAGTCTACAGGCTTAATCCGGCAGTCTTCCAGGTTTCAGTTACACTTCTTAGAACTCATTAATATGAATACTGAAATGAGTATTAGAAATCTTCCTGGGTCAGGGGGTAAAGGGCGGCAGGCGCGTAAGGCCACACAGTTTGGGCTTCCGATCGACCTTACAGGCAAAACTTTCACAGTTTACCCCCTCCCTTTCCTCCCATACACGCGCAGATAAAGCGGCAGGCTTCATGCCACAATCACGGTCTTCCAGCCTATAATGTTGAGTCACACACGTCACGTGCTACGGTCCTGCAGGCAGAACTGACGGACTGACGGGTTTCCAACAGGCCAACAGTCCAAACGATTGCCCGGTCGGCCAAACCACACACGTCAGTTCTGCCTTTCAGTCTTCAACTGTGCAGGCCGAACTGGAGGTCGAACTGTGTGTGTATGGGGGTCCTTAGACCGCTCGGCTACCGTGACCGGCCAGGGATAGCTTTAACTTTTTTTTTTACCTTATTGTCGCTTCAGATTATTCTGACATGTAATGGTAATGAAAGAGTAATTTCTAAAATTCTGAGTGAGGAGCAAACACTCATAGTAATCTACGCTTCTGTAACTGACCTTCAAAATCATAATGGAAAGAACGAGTAGTCTTCGAAGTCAGAAGCAAACATTCATAATAACTCAAGAGATTCCCTTACAGCTCTTCACAATCTGTTCTTCCAAAGCGATTTTTTCCATGTTATTTACTCACAAAATCTTCTCCGCGTATGGAAATAATCTTAGCCTACTTTCAAGTACTTTAATTATCGTAATGGCTTTTCAAGCAGACACGACAAGTGTATATCACACGAAAGTGGCAGTCTTGACACGTAATGTTATTAGAATGATGATAAAGAATACAAGAACTCACCACATGTTTACTAGCGACCATCACTAAACATCATTTCGGCCATACACATTGGTCCTTGGATATATCGAAAACTACCCCAGGCTCCAACCCACCTGGAAAAGAAAAACATTAAACTGTAAAGTATGTACAAAAAGTATTAATGACAACTCATGTGATTAATAATGGTTGGCTAGAGGGCTCTCACGCTTTAAATTGGTAGACACGTACTTGTCTTAATGACAACAACATTATGCAAGGCCAGAAGTACAATACAATTTTTGTTTAGCTGGTCCTCACATAACATCTAAACAAGAGCCTTGATCAAATATGGGTTCTCTTCAGAAGCGACATATTCTGACCAACACGTTAATTCCTCATAATTATGAAACCTAAAGCTTCATAAGCCGGTCACGGTAGCCGAGCGGTCTAAGGCGTGTACTGTCTCCGCTCGCTTGGAAACCGGGATCGTGGGCTCGAATCCCACTCAGGACATGGATGTTTAGTTTGTGTGTGTGTGCGTTTTTCTGTGTTTGTGTACAGGTAGAGGCCTTGCGACGCGCTAATCACCCGCCCAAGGAGTCCTACCGAATGTGTAAGATCTAGAAAAGCCGAAGTGAATGGAGTTCTCAGGGAGGTAGGCCTAGGCACACTGGGGCTGTAGTGCCAAGAAAAAAAAAAGCTTCATAATGGTCATCACACATGTTTTCGTATTCAATTCCGAGACCTAAATCCAGCACACGTCACACAGTTACAGCTGATTATTTGCAATAAACAATAAACGTGTTTACGCTGGATCGCCGGTATTCCAAAACTGTGTTACCCCTGAGCTTAATCAACATGCCACGAAAACGCATAAAGGAACAAAGGTGAAGCTCCACATATTCTCAATCTCAGAACCAGACAGAGAGGGAGAGTGAGCTTCACGCTCCGCCGCCTGGTACCCGAAGAAAAACAGCTCGGTACACGCTGGACAGGAGACCAAGGTGGTGAACGAAAACATCCCTTTCGAGATCTGAACCACAGTTACTAGGGTGACTTGCTATCTCAGCTAGCGTAGATATTAATATATGCTTATTATCCTACAATCTATGGCACCCTACACAGAATATACTTACTTTAAGTACTTACTCATGGAGCTGAGCCCTTCTTGAGGAGCCGCCAATTCTGCAGATACTCAAGAATTTCCCAGCATTTTATGGAACCCGAAGGTTCATCACCGTGTTCACAAGAGCCCTCCACTGGTCCCTATCCTGAGCCAGATTTATCCAATCCATACCATCCCATCCTATCTCTCTAAGATCCATTCTAATATTGTTCACCCACCTACGCCTTGGTCTTCCCTGTGGTCTCTTTCCTTCTGGCTTTCCCACCAATATCCTATATGCATTCCTCGTCTCTCCCATTCGTGCTACATGCCCTATCAGCCTCATCCTCCTTGACTTGATCATTTTAATTATACTTGAAGAAGAGTACAAGTTATGAAGCTCCTCATTATGCAGTTTTCTCCAACCTCCTGTGATTTCATCTCTCTTTTTGGTCCAAATATTCTCCTCAACACCCTGTTCTCAAATACCCTCAATCTACAGAATATATATGTGTATAAACATTCTAATTTTTTTAAATGTGCAAGATGATATGAACAGGACCAACAAGTTGGCCGACTCTGGTTCATCTGATCATTATCTCTTAGTAGATAAACAACAGGAAGTGTCTGATACTCGAACTACAGTTAGACTGAACGCGAATATATCCGAGCTGTGATTTTCAATATGTCTGCCAGCTCCAGCGTGTGGAGGGAGACCTCGCCACGTTTCACTGAAACTCATACAGTGGCATGGGATTCAAGGAATGACATCTTGCTTATTGAACCGAGGCTGCAGTATCACGTTTCTTTAACGCTTTTATACAGTGGGACTGTTACTGTACTTTTAGGCTGGCTGAAACTTGGGGCCACTCTCGATGTAAGTAACTACTGGTCTCAGGGCCGCGCCATACCTCAAGGGGTTAGTCGCTGGCTTCCCACCGTGGCGGCCCGGGTTCGATCCCGGGTCTGGTCGAGTGGGATTTGTGGTGAACAAAGTGGCGCTGGGGCAGGTTTTCTCCGAGTACTTCGGTTTCCCCTGCCAATCTTCATTCCACCAAATTCCCCATCATCATAATCACCCGGGGCAGACTACAATAGGCCAATCAGTGACCGCCGTGCCGAGTGGACCCAGTTGTACTCCACCCCCACTAAGCGAATTTATAACAAAATTACCTTAACAGTCTGCGATTTACATACGAGTGTTATATCTGAAACAGTCACTAGGAAAGCAACAGCCAATTTCTTTATGCATACCATCTCTATACTGTGTTACTTTCCCGTAATTTTAGGCCCGTGTAAGAATCCGATCTTAGCACGAAGTCCGTTCCATTTTCTGTTACAAATGAAAATAAGAACGAAGAATATCAGACAGTTTCCATTTCGTCCGTCGTCATGCAACTCTTATCATGTCGCTGTAGTGCAGATGGGCGATTGGACCCGCAAGCTCGCAGTTTTTCTCTCCCATCCGTCCGTCCGTCCATCCATCTTTTTCCGAATCATTCTCTGGTAACAAAATCCGGAGTTAAAACGCCTCTAATTAACTTTCATCGTTGGTTACGACCTTGAACCACTTCACAACCTCGCGACACAGGCCTGCTTCCCTGTGATTCATATTGTTCTCTGAACTCCACATCCTTGTCCGCCTTCCAAACGATCACTTTCCTAAGAAGCCTCCTCAGTGACATTCCATATTCATTTCTGCTCCTTACCCTGATCCCTGCATGCCTGCCAGTGCAGTAAAAATCACTAAAATTATAACTGAAATGAGGACGACAAAATTAATCTACACGGACCAAAAGATAACAAGGTTGTGGTACATTGTGTGAAATACGGGCTCTGTGGCCAAACAAATAACCCACCAACGAAGATTAACACGTCAAATAAAACGGAATCTTTTTTTTTTTGCTCTGTAACACTTTTATCGTTAGAAAGTTATATATCCTGCCAACCAAATGAAAGAAACTGCAGGAAAACGATTTAACTATGACTAATATGTCCTGGTATACTGTTGCTTTACTTTCTGCGCAATTATACTGCGCCCTTTTTGCACACAAATTTTACAAGTGCAAAGCAAAAAAAAAATCTTAATCTTTATACATAATCACCTACTAGAATACCATACCAATATTTACACAGTGTGAGAAAATAAAAGGAGAACTAAAATGTGACTATGTTGGGCTCAAAAGCTGTGGTATAGGGAAGCCACTAAAAATTATGCGTCGTATTCCATTCTGAATCTATAAAAATCAGAGTTCAGTTGTTATGTTTCCCTTGTAAGGTCTACCAGTGAGGAAAATTTAATCAGTACGCCGCCGCAGCCGCAGCCTCCGCCTCCTCCTCCTCCTGCTCCTCCTCCTCCTTCTCGTTGACGGAGGCAAAATAAACAACCCCTTTTGAGCCACAGCCTTCCTCAGAAGGTACTGCCACATTTGCCTGAATTAGATCATCCGGTTTTCACTTCTTTGGATTCCGCAACAATTTTTTTTTTACGCAGCAAGGTCGTCAGCCTTACGTCCAAACCCCAACCTGGAGAACAAGGTCTCTGTATTTATGTCCCCCGTGACAGGGTGGCCCCGTTATACCCCTAGGTACCGGGTTCCCTTTTCATCGCCTTCTACGACTCGCAGGGCTACGATGGAGGTATTCTGACCCGCCTCCAACACGGGATACATCGCCTTCACTATCGTATATAATGTGTCTGCAGAAAGTTCATTTTATAATTCCTCAGTATCATTAAAACTCGAATCAAATTATTAAACCCTGTTCATCAATCACATCGATACATAACAGCTGTTTCAATTAAGCCCCTCACGGGAGCTCTCTATCGTCGGCAATGGGAAATATTTTACTTTCAAGAAAGCAGTCTTCTGGGATTTGGCACCGTGTATATGTGGTGTTAACCGACGTTTCGGAGGAACGTATCGCCTACATCTTCAGGGTAGAAGGAAAAATATAAGAAATCCGCAAGCGAAGAGACCGTGAGAACCGGTAAAAGCAGACTGGTGTTGGAAATATTTCTTATATTTTTCCTTCTACCCTGAAGATGGAGGCGATACGTTCCTCCGAAACGTCGGTTAACACCACATATACACGGTGCGAAGTCCCAGAAGACTGCTTTCTTCATAGTCACCGCCGTGAAAGCCTCAATCTTACATGTTTACTTTCAATTGACTGCAACACACAAGCATTATTCTCTTGCGTGCGTCAGCTCAGACATACTATTTCATGCACTGCGCACAGGCAAAAGAAATCAAGAGTTAAAAAATACAGAAACTGTTACATCGATCACATACAACGGAACTGCGTCCAATCGGAGACGCGCAGCTAAAACCTTATCCACAACTTCCATAAACGACTTCAAAATATGAGAAATGGCTACCACAGCGTTTTATGTGCACGATGTTAAAGAAGCTTATTAAAAATCCAGACATGACATGAAGTTTCATAAACTGTAAGTGTATGAAATGGTCTTGTCTCTCTTTTATAATACATGAACCCAACCAATAGCATACCATCTGCTCACTTTCCATTGGTGCAAACAGTGCATGCAACATGAATAGAATGGCCTGCCCTAGTCATGTTGTACCCAATGGAAACTACAAACAGTAGGCTGTATAGGCAAATTTTCTGAGCCCACCCGCCCCTAAACCATTTCCCTCCCCCCCACACGCTACAGACCGAAGATTACAATCTAGTTTCATTTCATGGTAACAACAGACCTTCATAAAAGCGTCTGTCAGTGGTAGCACGCTGTATGCTTCTGCCGCCTCAAGCCTCGCCATCTCTTTCATTAAGACAATGGACTTAGGTCTCTCTCGCACGTAGCATAAGCTTCCACATTTCGTTTAAAATTATGATTTACTTCCAGGTGTGGTCACCGAACGAGAAAGGTCGGGTGGGGGGTATATTTTTGCATCGAGAATATTTCAAGGTTTTATAAAAAGCTATTTGTGCTATTTACGGATTCAAGGAGCAGTGAAACAAAGGAAGCACATTACATAACGCTAGCCAGCATTACTGGATGGTTTT